GATTTCATTCACCGTTTTGTTTTACAGATATCGATCTATATAAGGAACTCTCTACTTTCATATATCAAGTGAATTCTGCCATTTTGTGTAACTAAGTTCTATATATTAGGAACAATCTTAGTACAAGCATTGTTCAATTTTAAGAAGGATCGTAGTATATACATTGTTAGATTCTAGCAATAATCCAAGTTGAAACAGTTGAAATCCTTTAGACTCTTGATGACATCCTGATGCAATCTTTAGAAATTTTGCTAACATCCTTGTGAAATCTGTTCAAAACATCGATTCAATCTTTGAAAAATCTTTAGAATTCTTGATGAAATCGTTGGGAAATGTTTGTGAAATCTTCAGAAATCTCGACGAAATGCTTGAGAAATTTTTATAAATCTTGATGAAATCTTTGTGAAATCTTCAGAAATCTCGACGAAATCCTGGACAAGCATTTAGAAATCTTGATGAAATCCTTGGGAAATCTTCAGAAATCTTGATGAAATCTTTGCGAAATCTTTATAAATCTCGATGAAATCTTTGTGAAATCTTCATAAATCTCGACGAAATCCTTGAGAAATCTTTAGAAATCTTGAGGAAAATTGGATGAAATTGTCAGAAATCGCTAGTAAATCTTTGGAAATTTTGAGAATGCTAGAATGAAATCTGTGTGAAATGTTGATTGAATCCTTGTGCAATCGAAACAGATTCAGCCAACTTCTGATGAAATCCGACTGTATTCTGTCGGAGTCTTACGTTATCTGGCGTTTCTCTGTGAAAGGATCCTGGTGGTTACGGCATTATCTGACAAACAGTTCCGACAGGATCCGATCGGATCCTTTCCGACGTAATCCGGTCCGGAATCCGTTAGTTAGGAATCCTGTGAAATACGGTTGGGTTCCGATCGGATTTAGTTGGGAACCCGACGAATTCCGGTGTGATCCGACATCGGATCCGATAGTTTCCGGTAGGATCTACAGGTCGGATTGAATCACCTGGGAAGTTCATATTTTTAATGTTTCGAAAATCTTATTTTCAAAAATTTAGAAATTCATCTGCGAATACATATAGGCATTCCTAGAATATCCTTGATAAAATTCTATAACTTATTTTCTACTTTACAGTGCACATTAAATAACATAATTATTGGCACTATTTTGCTTTTATTTTAATTTTAATTTCTTGAATAATGATATACAAAGATAAATAATACAATGAAAATTCAAAATATTTAATCAATTAAAGCTAAAATATCCAAGTAAAATAAAAACAAGGTTTGTTTTCAGTATATCGATATTGGTTATTACTCACACATAGTGATGCACATTTTTTGTGTATTAGTGTCGTATCTGTACGAAGAACGAATAAAAGAATAAGCAAAAGAAAAAGAAAATTTGCAAGCAAGAAAAAGAACGTGCTTGTTGAGAGTAAGTTGGTCATAGACGAGATACATTCTGATGAATAATTGCTTGTTTTTGGATGGATATCGTATGTCTGGGGGAAGGAGAAATAAGAGAACAAGCAATGAAGGAGAA